AAGAATAAACAAATACAATTTGTGTGTACAGTTTGATTAGTGTATGGCGCTGACAAACACTAGTCAGGAAGACTCACTTCCTTGCTCTCAGTATGGTGTCCCCATGAAATGTTCTGAGAAGTCGTTCAGTGGTAGCAAGCACGATGAGCAGCATCGATGAGAACATGGCACAGTTGCTTTCGGTGAGCACGATACGAAAGTACGAAAGGAATAGATGGTAGATTGGCAGAAAGTGGTAGTAGTCCATGTACACCTGCAACTTGTAATATAATGCAATACATTAATGAAATAATAATGAGTATTTGTCTGAGGTTAGCTCCAGTTTTGCAAAAGGAATTTTGTACAGTCTTGTTTTCGGCGGATGATGGGGCGTGTCAAGGAGGATGGGCTCGGTGCAGCTCTAGCTCGCTTATCTTTATTCTTCCAACAAGCGACGAGACTGTAATCGTTCGTATCAGTCCTCTTCCACCAACTGCTGTCCCTTACCCGTTCCAACCCGGTGGTGGAGAAAGGACTGGCGGCGCGCCACCCAGCCTCACTGACGCACCCCATCAACTCGCAACAAACAAGACTGTAGATGCCCCCCCCCCCTGCACACTTGTAATGCCAAAGGTGTGAAGATAAACGCACCGGTATTGACATAACTGCAATGTAATTCACTGCCATTATTGTGTCAATCACTGCAAGAATTCCAAAATAAAACACAGAGGATTTCCTGGAACAAATCAAATTGGCAGCAGAACTCAAGGATTTCTATAAAAAGCGAAAACCTTATAGATCGGTTGGTCAGGAATACAATTGTAAAGAATGTGTTGAAGATGATGGAGAGAATGGCAATGAACGTTGCAAACACGCCGATGAGGTAAATTTTCACCTCCACATGTTCGGTTCCCTGAAAATTAGAGCTCTCCATAAGACCGTACATGGATAATAAAGTAGAGGAGTCGTAGAAGTTTCTAAGAAGTCACCATTAACCTGCGAGCGGCATATTTCACTGTTGGGGAGGTAGACCTTAACTTACTATGAAAACTTAACATGGTTCTACTCAACTGAAAGCATCGTGATGTGTGAAATGGTGGTGTCGGTACGACCCCCCCCCTGGAGGGAGGGCCTTAGTGTGACCCCTCCCACACGGGAGAGGGTTTGAATACGACCCTCTCCATCCCCTTCTCAACACCTACCTACCAATTTCACACATTTTCCAGTTACAACAGGGCACATCATTGGTTGGGGATTTTAGTCGAATCTATACGACCCCCCCCCTTTTTTTTTGGGAGTTGGTACGACCCCCAGCCCTCTGTCCTTCCTCATCGAATCGAGCGGGGGAGGGTAAATAGCACATGTGAAACAGGAAAAGCCGCGAGACAATACGACCCCCCTCTACAATCAGATTTTCCCCAACTTCCTGCCCCTTTTTTCCAAAATTTCCCGAAAACTTCCCTACTTTTTACCAAAAATTTTGCTGTCGAGCGGGGGGGAGGGGGGTGGGGGTTATATGTAGTACGTAGAAACAGGAAAATTCACCAAAAGTTCAACGCCACTCCCACAAACGCAAACAAGTAAAATTTACGACTCTCCTCGCCAAAAATGCATCAAATACTCGAAACACGACCCCCCTCCCTTTACGACGTCAGAAGCGGCAGAAAAATCAACTATCAAAATGAATATTTTCTCAGCCCAAATTCGACCCCCCCTGCCCTCCTGGCGACCAATTTCGACCCCCTACTGGGATTCCCTAACAACGAGCGTGCCCGTGTTACAACCAAGACAAATTTTCTTGTCGCGAGGCGAAGAAGGGGAATTCTATATAGATATACACTGGAACAGGAAATTACGAAAAGTACAACCGGAAAAAAATTTTTCCCAGGGCGGCAAATTTCTCTCTAAGGCACATACGACGCTCTCCTCTCCCACTCTCCTAACAACCATCTCATGGTACGACCCCCCCCCACCTCAGAGAAGCGTACGACCCCCACCCCCTATGTGTTTTCAACAACGATGCTGCACCTTATCCATAGAGTCCTCCGATTGTTCCTATCAGGCGCGAGGATGACGACTGTAGATCACTGTATTTCAACGGATGCTATTGGGCCAAGCAAATTGCCAAATTTATAACACAGAAAAGTCGTAATCGTAGTAGGGATTGTTTCCCTTTTGTCTGTTAATGATCCCTGGACCTTCTCCACTTTAAAAATTGAGCCTTAGTCGTGCAAAAGCAGTACCAAAATTGAAAACAGGTAAGCATACGAAATTACTTGATAGAATTCAATTCTAGTTACCGACAGAAAACAAGGGGGGTAAGGTTTTTCGAGATTCTCCAGAACTGAGCCTTCCTTTGAAAGAGAGACAGTGGCAGGGTACTCTTAGCATATGGAACATGCATTCACTTGAGGTCTCACCCCTTTAATACTCGTTCCTAATCTGCAGCCTCTTTCAGAGCACCCCTACGATTTTGCCGCTCTTTTCCTTAGCTCCTAAGTCAGATATCATCTAAAAAACCGTACAAATTCGTATTCAGGCCCCAAAGCCCATTGAGCGTAAACGCAAATGCGTATTCCAGCGATGGTCAATGAATTTTCACAACAGTATTCATAGGCTGGGTTGTCTATTGGAGTGCAGTCAGTATCTATGCAAACGAGAGGGCGTGTGACAGGGCGTGATTGGATCACAGTCGGGACATTCTTTCCGCCAAATGGTGCCTTTCAGAGACCGCAACAATTGGTGGAAAAAGCTGTCTCGATGCCAGTCCACGCCCCTGCACACTCGTTTGCAGGGATAATGGCTGGTTATTTTGCTCGTAGTTCAGGTCTACGAGTGAGAACGACAAAGCCTCTTTAAGCGCTCTAAATAATTGAAATGAACAAAAATACCAAGTCCATCGAAATGAACTTACAAAATACGTGCAATCAGTGTAGTTGGAATCGTAGTCTAGGTAGTCTACATTGTGCGAGGGCTCTTCCATGTATGAATCTAACTGTTATCTGAAAGTTCATGACATTGCTTGTCGAGTAAGGATCACTGGATAAAAGAGGTATGAGCGATACACGATTGTAAACATTTCCACCGAAAAGAGAAGAAAAAAGAAGAAGACGCTATGCTCAGGGAAACGGACATTCTCCAACTTTCCATCAGTATACAGGGGGGCCCAAAAAAGACACTTTTCTTCCTCGACTTTCAAGGCGTTATAAGTTGCACTTCATTAAATTCTGATTGGACATTTCCACCATCATATTCAACAACACATTGCACACTATCACGAAACTCCGCCACAGCCTTCTGGACGAGCGCCATCGAGAGATTCTGCCACGCGACCGTGATTCGGTGCCTGAGTTCAGCGGTCGTTGATTTCTCCGCCACTGTAGACCACCCTGTTGAGCTCCGCCCGAACCCGGTAATCGAGGGGTTCAGGTCAGGTGACACACTTGAATTCAGTTTTTTCCAACGCCTTTCGATTTCATGTGGTGGCAACCCGGACGACATGAAGGCAGGAAATTCTTCTCGAGCAGTTTGATGTAGCGGTCAGCGTTAACTTTCAGGTCCGAGGTCCACGAAAAAAAAACACAGGTTCCCCATCTCAGCACTTCCGAATTCTATACCAATCGACCCAGGCCTTGGGCGACTGCTGGTGAAGATGATGTCTCTAGAACGCGACGTCTGCCGGAGGCTGCTCGATCGTGGAGGTCTTCGGGATCTGAGAGTCGCCGCATCTCGTTTAGTCAGTGTCCCAGGCTGACTTTATACAAGAAGTTTCGCAGCTGTTTGGAGGTGACGTGAATTCCATAGGCCTTCTCCAGTCCGGCTGCGACTGAAGATGGTTTCATATTTTGGTGTACATGAAAGTGATGGACGAGAGCCTGTCCTGCTTATCGAGGAACATCTTTGGGTATCTCTCGCCCTGGTACTCCTATGCAAATCTTCTATCTGGACTGCAAAAACTTTACTGATATGTCACCCAGTCAAAGTTTTCTTTTTTTTTGCTTGCTCCCTGGAGAGTTGAATATAGCCGTGCAAAAAAGTGGGACGGTGTCGGAAAGGGGGGGGGGAATGCGCCCCCACCGTCATGTCCATTTTTTCAGACAGTAGTGATAGCTAATTGAGTTTTTGAAGAGAGAGTACGACCAATGGTGAAAACGAAAGCGCGGCTTCAACTTCGCCTTCCTGGCTCTGGCCGCGCCCCCCCGACTGATTACGGTGCCAGTTGTACATGAAAATAATACAACGAAATAGACGCTAAAAAATAGACTAAGTTTACTCATGTCTTCCTTTGCCGACATTGCCGGTTCACCTCACAAATGCCGGACTCATGACAAATAAGAAAATCAAAGAAGCAGACAAACCTTCACTATCAATCCGCTCGTGGAAGAATAAGGAAACGAAAGCATAAAGGAAGGGGCGACAGGAGGATGGCCTAACAAGGGAGGTCGTTCAGGCCGTGGTGAGCTTTTTCAAAACGATTTGTTGCATGTTGTAGGGGTCCATACAAGGACCACACAGATGGGTTTCATTTTTGCTAAACGCTATTGGGAATGTCAAAAAAAGGAATAAAAAATCGCTCAAAATACGCAAGTTTTATCATCTCATTCGCATCTGTTTCAGCTGTAAAGCAGAATACATAGAGTTTATAAAGTGTTTCTCAACTAGACATGAAAAAGAACATTGAATAAGGTCGAAATACAAGTGCCTTACTTGGCATACAGTGAGGTACACTGCAATTCTTTTGGAGCAATCCTTTGCTCAGCGCTCGCCAGTGGCTTTTTAGCCGCCAACGCTGCGCCCGAGAATCCATCGGCGGCCATAAGAATAATTGTCCAGAAATCGTGATCAAGGCTAGTGATTACCCTGTTGAGAGTTTCAGCAAAAAAAAAATCTTCTCGAGTTTCCTTTAGTGGAATGGACCTGATCATTTGGATGGCAGTGACAGGCGCGAACCCTGTATCCTCTCTGGCAGATGAACCGCCAGAAATTTTTCATTTCTTGCCCCCCAACTTCAGTAGGTCTTTATCGAACATCGTGCTAGCTTCGGACACACTAACACTGAACTAAAACAAATCTTTTCAGTTGCTGGTATGAGTGAGCTGCACTGGAACTTAAAACTCCAAGCATCCTGTCTTTCTTCAACCGCAATGCCGAGTAGACCATTTGGATTTTGGACTATTATTTTTGCGAGCGTGTTTTTTCATGCCTGCTCAAAAGGACTACCTCAGTACTAATCCCTGTCCAACGCCACAGCTAGAACAGAGGCGAATAAGGGTGGTTTAAAAAGCCATTCTTTTCGAACTGTTTTGACCTTTTTTTGACATTCCCAGAACCGTTTAGCAAAAATGAACCCCATCGCTATGGTCCTCGCATGGACCCCTACAACATGCAACAAACCGTTTTGAAAAAGCTCACCACGGCCTGAACGACCCTGCCCTTTGTAAGAACAACAAAGACGAATGATGTCTCTGAATTGAGAAGTATTACGAACAAGATCGCTAGTGTATTTATAGGCCAATTTCATGATTCAGGCACTTGCATAACCTAAAGAAAAGTAAGGTTAAAGAGAGAATGTCATCACTGAAAAAGATAATGAAAGAGAAATGGAGAGGGGCGTTTCCCAGAAATTCGACGGATGGTTTGCTGGCCAGATTCAGTCCACACCTATGCTCGTTGAACAATGGAATGCATTCCCAAAATCACAAGAAGGATATTGCTAGGCCGATAATGTTGAAACCCAGTTCGGTCATTATCGCACCAAACACTGCAATCAGCCGACTATGATGTGCCACACCGCCATGCGCAGGCGTCAACCGGGTGCTTGCCGAGACTCCGAATTCCGGCCATGCATGCGATTTGCACTTTGAGTCGCACCGAGTTCGCAGGGACGGAACATGGGAACTTATAACAAATGTGCTGCTCTGCTCAGTCCTCGGT